CGCTTGAGGCACCGCGGCGGAAACATGATGCACGTGTATATACAGTCCCGTTGTTTATACATGTTCCGCGTGCGGATCATGTTTAAAATGCAGGGATTTAGTATTAATTATCCCAGTGCGACCCTACCTAGGAGTTGGAGCCTCTAGGAAAGCAACATTAGCAGGAGCGTGCAGCAACGCTATGCTGTGCTGTGCTATGCTATGCTATGCTATGCTATGCTATGCTGCGCAATGCTATGCTGGGCTAGACTAGGCTATGATATGCTATGATATGCTGCGCTATGCTATGCTATGCTATGCTTTTGCTTTGCCTGCGCTTTTGCCTCACTTTTGTCGTTGCTGTTGCTGTTGCTTGGCACCCAGGGAGCGCAAATGGGGGAACCGCGCGTTTGCTTTTACCTTTGTTGTTGCTTTTGCTTGGCTCCCAGGGGACTGGGGGAACCGCCCGGGGCGCTTTCCACTGCCTGGCCCCTTTAAGCTACAGAGTAAGAACCCTTCTATGCAGAGCCTAGGTAGGGAAAAACGGCAATGAGTTCATGCATAAGTTTGTCAATAAATTATTCATTATTCGAAATCCTCTATGCTCACAAATCCTATGTATTAAGAACTGCCCTGCACATATGTGTATCAATATAGAAAGGCCCCTTCAAACTGGCCGGTTGACGGCCAATCCAGGACCTCCCAGCCTCTTTAAGAAAAATGTTGCGAAGTCGACATCTTCGTTTTCGACATGGAAACTATAGCGCCCATGCTGGAAAGCGGGCGGCAGAAGTGTGACGTGGCGCACATCCCGCGCGGAAGGGCGAAATGTGGCCATCGCTGCGGCCCCGCGTACTCCAGATTTCGTAATGAAAGGAAGGGGGTCACAACTCTCCCAGACGAGAAGCTTCAGACCCCCCCAGACCATCCATGAAAGGGCGGCCCTCTGCCCAGACCCCCCCCCCGAACCCTCCAAGGCAGCTCAAATCAGACCCCCCCCAAATGCGACCCCCCCCCACTTCATTATGAAATCCAAAGTAAGTTTGTAGAGATTTGAATTTGCGCGCGGGCGCGCCGCACACTTTAGCACGCCACATATCTGGTCGACGCGCGAGCGGGCGAAGATGCCGTTCTCGCGTCGGCGCCGCACACAAAGTTCGCCTGGAGGTGGCGTTCCTGCCTCGGCGCGGTGCCCTCCCTTGTTCTCCGCTGGATGCGGCAGTTCGGCCAACCCCTCCTGACGTTTCCCTGAGGAAAAGTTAAAAAGGCTTAATACATGTATATATAAGATATATGTATACGTATTAAAATATATTTTTTGTATAACAAAAAAAGCCTGAGCAAGGTTTTAGGGCGGTGTTTGTCAAAGGATTTCCCCTGAAACCCTCCAACCACGTTTTTCTGAGGAAGGTTTTAGGATGGCTGTTTTGGAAGATTCCCTTCGGAACCTTGGAGCATCTGAGGAAAGATTCCCCAAACAAATCAACAAAAAATCTGTATGCGGAAGATGTTCGGAAGGTTGTTTTGGAGGATCCCCCCAACAACCTTCCAAGCATCTTCCTGAACTGAAAAGGGTTGGAAGGTTTGTTCGAGGATTCCTCCGAAAAGCGTTCAGAAACTTTCTTGGGGAAGGTCTGAAGAGGTGTTTGAGAGAATTCCTCAAAAAAACCTTCTTGAACATTTTCCTGACGAAGGTGTTTCAGAGGGTCCTCCCCAAAAACCTTCCAAAACCTTCCCCGGGAAAAAATGTAGGACAGTTTTTTTGTCGTGAGGATTCCCCCACACACCTTCTTTCAAACACCATCATGAGGAAGGTTGTATGACGGTTTTTAGGTAGGCTCCAACAGAAAATTGTCCACTACAATCACGATCTCTCTTGGGGAAGGTCCTGGGAAGGTTTCACGAAGAATATCGAAAAAACACTTCAACAACGATGTTGCGCTTTTGTTTCGGAAGATGCTTGAGAATATTATTCCAACAACCTTCCTCCATAAGTTTTGTTCATAAGGTTGTTAGGATGATTCCTTGAAGAAGAAGAAGAAAAAAACAACAAACCAACAACAACAACAATATGTGCATATATATATATGTGTGTATGGATATGTATATGTATGCATATAACAAAAGACAAACAGAGAAATACCAAAACACAAAGAAACAAAAACAAACAACACAACTACAAGAAAATGAAAAACAAACTTGGGGAGGTGTTGGGAATGTGCGTTTGAGGGGGAATCCCCCAAAAAACCTCCCAACAACCTTCTTGGGGAAGGTGTTACAACGATTGTTAGACAGGTTTCAGAAGAAAATAACACAAAACAAAACAAAAAACTAAACAAAATAAATCCAACAATTCTCTCGCAGAAGATGTTGAGAAGGTTGTTTCTAAAAAGACTGATCAACCAAATGTTGAAGACATCTTATTGGGGGAATGACAACAATTTCAAACACCTTCCTGAGGAAGGCGGCTAAAATGATCAAGTTTAAAAACGTCAAACAAAAACTCCCCGAGAGAGGCTCTGGGGACGGATTGGTCATGCGGATCCTTCCAAAAATTGTCCGAACATGTTCCTGAAGAAGGGGTTACTACGGCTGCGCGGGAGGATTCCCAAAAAAACCTCCCAAAAATCTTGTTGGTGAAGGTTTTAGGACCTTAGGGAGGGTTTCGGGAGGAATCCTCCAAAAACCGTCCTCGAAAGTTCCCCAAGGAGGTTGCTGGAAGGTTGTCGAAAGAGGAATATTCCTAACAAGGGTTTTGGAGGAACCCTGTTCAAAAAAACATCCCAAAACCTTCCTGAGCAAGGTTGTCGGCAAGCTTTGTCCCAGGACAGGGTTTTATGTTGGAGAGTGGAGATCGTTTAAAAAACCTTCCAACAACCTTCCTCATGAAAGTTTTCGGATGGTTGTTGGGGGGGTCCTCTTTAAAACCTTCCTGAATCCTTCCTCCGACAGGTTGTTGGGTGTTTGGAGGAATCCCCCAAGAACCCTTCCAAAAGGTGTTTTTTGTTGCAGTGTTGCTGGAAGATGTTTGGAAGGTTGTTTTGAAGGTGTTTTGGGAAGGTGTTTGGAAGATTGGTTGGAAGTCTCGAACGGCTTTCGGGGAGTGCGCGAAATGATGTTGGAAGGTTTGTTGTGACAGGTGTTTGGAGAAAGTTGTTGTGACAGGTTTTCCAGCTTTTGGACTGGATAGGGCGATCTCGCTAAATGTTGGAAGGTTTTTTTGGAGGATCTTTGAAAGAGTGTGGAAGGTTTTGTAAAGGTGTTTGGAAGGTGTGTGGAACGTTTGGTTGGCAAAACCTTCCGAAAGCCTTCCTCTCCTCCCACCTGGAGACTGGGAAAAATGTTCCAATAGCAACTTTCCAGAAGGTGTTTGGAAGGTTGTTTGGAGGATTCCTCATGACACTGTCCAAGAACCTTCCTCCGAAACGCTCCCGGAAGGAATCCTCTGAAAGACCTTCCAACAACCTTCTTCAGGATGGTTTTTGGAAGGGTAAACCATCCTGGATCCTTTCCGAGGAAGGTTGTTGGCAGGTGTTTGAGAGGAAAATGTTCTGAAACCTTCCAGAGGAAGGTTTTTGAAGGTTCTATCTACATGGATCAGCGAACAAAAAATTGAGTGGTGACGGCGACGACGACGAAAACGAAAACGAAAACGAAAAAGCCTTTCACACACGCCGACAGGATCGGTGGATTAAACAATGAGCGTTTGCACATGTGGCAAGCGCTGTGGCGAGAGCGTCTGCTGGATTGCGGTTTCATTGTGCGTACCTTTGAACGTGACAAGACTTGGAGTTTGAGCACAATGTGTAAAAGATCCAAGAACGGTTCGATTTGACCAAAATTGTTGACAACCTCGGTTCGGCACTCATGTGTGTAAGGCAGTATGCGGGACAGGCGAGGAACAATACAGGCGGTGTCGGGGAAGAGAGGAGAGAACAACATGTCATATGGAGTTATGTAGAGGGAAGCGGAGGAGGAGGAAGGTGATGTTTCTTGGAGGCTTCATGGAGCCTCCTTGGGGCCTCCTGCGGGGGTCATGAGTTCTTCGCGTATGCAGATGAGAGGTCACCTGTGAGTCTCCAAATTGATACGTGTCTTTCGGAGACTGTCTTCTTGGGGGGCCTCGCCATGCTGCTTTGGGCCAACTTGGTGCGCTTTAGAGTCGTCTCAGAGGTCTCTGGGGCCGTCTTGGGACCCTCTTGGAGCCTCTTGGGCATTCTGGGGGCCCTCTTGACCCGTAACGTGGCCCGCTTCGGGGGTTGGGGGCCGTGTTGGCGTCATGTTGGAGGCTTTTGTGGCCGTCTTCGGTTGTCGGAAGCGAGCTAAAAAGCATGACAAGCTATGATGTTGGTGTATTTGGGCTGTACTGGGCTCTCCTGGACGGCCTCTTGGAACCCGAGTAGGCAGTCTTGAAGCCACCTGGGGCCGTCTTGGAGCCATCTTGACCTTTCAGAAGTCACGCGGGCCTCCCCGGGATACTATCTTGCTGCTCCCGCAAAGGTCGAGCACGAGGACCAGGAGGATGAGGACAAGGGGGATGGGAAAGGAATGGCAGGGGGAGGGCAGGAGCGAAGGAGTAGCAGAAGGAGTGGGGAATGATGGAGGATAAAAGTGCAAGAGGACGGAACAGGAGGCGGTCGCGCATGCGGTCAACAGCGCAGAGCATGCAGAGAGAGTGAGAGAGGGAGAAAGAGAAGGAGAGAGAAAGAGAGAGAGAGGGAGAGGTAGGGACGGAGAAGGAAAGAGAGAGGGAGGGAGAGGGAGAGAGAGAGAGAGAGAGGGAGAGAGAGAGAGAGAGGGAGAGAGAACGAAGAGAGAGAGAGAGAGACAGAGAGAGAGTGTGTGTGTGCGCTTGTGTGTGTGAAATAGAGGGGGAACAGCAACAAGCAAGAGAGAAGGATAATGAGGGAGGCGGGGAGGAGGAAGCAGGAGGGAGGCGGTGGAGGAGCAGCAGCAGAGCACGCACGAGGAAGGAGCCCCATTCCTCCCGGTTCCCCCCCGCATGCACACGCGGCACACAGGGCAGATGGTCAACGTTTGCCACTTCCACCCCCTCGGCCAGTACTGGTGGGCTGGGGGGCCACCCGCGCGGGCAGACGAGACGACGTGTTCCCTGTGGAGAGAGCCACGCGGCCTCCAGAAGGGAGCTCGCTCGGTGTTCCCGTCGGGCTGTCCGAGGGGCCCCCGCAGAGGACCCCGGCTGAGCAGTGGTCGGGGGCGGCCAAGCTGGGGCTGAGGATTGGGGAGGTGCGGGCATCATGGCCGGGGCCATGAGGTCTCCTCCGCCCTCCTCCTCCTCCTCCTCCTCCTCCTCCTCCTCCTCCTCCTCCCTCCTCCTCCTCCTCCCCCTCCTCCTCCTCCTCCTCCTCCTCCTCCTCCTCCTCCTCCTCCTCCTCCTCCTCCTCCCCCTCCCCCCCTCCTCCCCCCCGCCTCCCCCCTCCTCCTCCTCCTCCTCCCCCCCTCCTCCCCCCTCCTCCCCTCCTCCTCCTCCTCCTCCTCCTCCTCCTCCTCCTCCTCCCCCCTCCTCCTCCTCCCCCTCCTCCCCCTCCTCCTCCTCCTCCTCCCCCTCCTCCTCCTCCTCCTCATCCCCCTCCCCCTCCTCCTCCTCCTCCCCCCTCCTCCTCCTCCTCCCGAGCGTTCCGTTCAGCACGTCCCCAGGGCCCCCCGTCGTCCTTGCACGCGCGTCGAGCAGAGATGGCGCTCCTTCGCTTTTGGGCTTCCCCGCCTCGGGGTGGTTCGTTTGCGGTGTCTTCGCGGGGCAGCGTGCCTTCGGCCACGGTGCTCGGCTTCTGACTGTGCCCAGAGGTTGTTGAAAAGTAGGCAGGTTGGGATCCCAAGATCAGAATCTATTTCAGGTGCCTTCCTCAGGAAAGCTCCGGCTCGGTTCGGTTCGGTTAGGTTCCGAAGCGCCTCCAGTTCGGTTCGGTTCGGTTCGGTGTCGTAATCTTCCGGTTCGGTTCGGTTCGGTTCGGTACTCTTTTTTTTGTTTCCGGTTCGGACCGGTTCCTGTTCCGGTTCGGTCCGGTTCCGACCAGATCGCCGTCGAGGAGCGGTTCCGACCCCAGGCGATCCGATTTCGCTGCGCTCCTTTCGATGCCGATGGTTCGGAGGAGTAGGATGAGGAAGAGGAGGAGGAGGAGGAGGAGGAGCTGCAAAGGGGCCCCAAACCTTCAAAGGGGCCCCAGGGCCCCAAACCCGCATAGGGGCCCCAAAGGGGCCCCAAACTTCCAAAGGAGCCCCAAAGGAGCCCCAAACCCGCATAGGGGCCCCAAAGGGCATCCAAAGGGGCCCCAAAGGGGCCCCAAACCCCCAAAAGGGGGCCCAAAGGGGCCCCAAACCCCAAAGGGGCCCCAAAGGGGCCCCAAACCCGCATAGGGGCCCAAAAGGGGCCCCAAACCCAAAAGGAAAGGGGGGTTTGTCGGGGTGGCTGCAGCAGACTGCTGGTGGCCCGGTTCCCGCAGCAGACTGCCGATCATCCTCCCTCCTCCTCCCTCCGTGGCCAGTTTTCCGGTTCGCTCCGGTTCGGTCCGGTTCGGGCCGGTTCGGCGGGGGGAGGTTCGGCCCGGTTCGGAGTCCCGGTTCGGTTGGGTTCGGTTCGGTGTCGTAATTTTCCTGTTCGGTTCGGTTCGGTTCCCATTGACAAAAAACACCAGTTCGCGCTGGTTCGGTTCGGCCAGTTCGGTTCGGTTCCGGAACCATCCTGCTTCCTGTTGCCGCCGACTCTGAAGGGGGACGACGACGCTGACGCTCTGAAGCCTTTTGGAGCTGACCCTCTTGGGAGCTTCTTGGGCCCTGTCGGGGTGCCTCTTGGGGTACGTCTTGGGAAAGTCCGTGCGCACGGGCTTGGAGCCACTTTGGAGCGGATCTGAGGCCTCTTGGAGGCATGTAGGAAAATACGCAGCACCCCGCAACAGCAGATCAGAGTGAGTAGGCTGCTTCTGGGGAGGGGTTCGGGAGGAGGGGGAGGGGTGGGGGGCCACCCCTTTGGACCCCAGGGGGGGACGGCATTCTGACTCGGGACTCCCCCCCCGAGACACCCCCCGGGACACCTCCCCAGGACTACCCCCCCTGGCGGGGAAGGAATCACGGGGAAGGAGTTTCCCTTCGACGTTGCTCCATTTCTCTGTGGCTGACGCGTTTGAGGAGGAGGGACCAAGGAAAGGGGGAGAGCGGCGGCGGCGGCGGCGGCGGCGGCGACGACGACTAACAGAAGAGCGCCTCGCACATGCCGACTTGGTCAGTGGATTTCAACAGTCGAACGGTTTTCCATCAACCCTCCCCTTCATGGGGCTGGCGGAAACCAAATGAATTTTCAGCGCATTCTCACTGCAAGTGTCTACCCATCTCCTCCGACCGATGGGGAACCCGTCTCTTGGCCTTCAATTGCGGTCCGAGCAGACGGGGTCGAAGGATCGAGCCGCATCCCCGATGCATCGACGATGCGGCTCGATGTGGAGCCCGATTTTGTTCTACGCCGATGGCGCCGAAGCATCGCCCGCCGACGTCGCTGGTCCATCGCCGATGCATCGGCTACGCGGCGGGATCCTCCGACCCTATCAGACAGACCCCATCTACGAGGCCTCTACCATCATCCTGTCCGCCCCCCCCTCCGTGCCCTCCCCCCTCTCCGCGGTGCCTCCAGAGCTCTTCTGGAGGCCCCCCGGAGAGCCGCGGGTCCCAGCCGCACATCCCCCGAGGCCTCCGGAGGCTCCCCGAAGCTCAAAAGACGCCGGATAGGTCCGATCCTCCATCATGGCGGTAGAACACGTCGGATGTCGGATGATTGTTGATCGTGCAAAGAACATGTATACGTGTACGCCTACAGCGAATCATGCGACAATGTCTTCGCAATCATGCGCTGCATGGCGTGGCAACGATGCTCCAGACAAGTGTGATAATGTGTACGCAATCATGCGTTGCATGACGTGACACCTCCCTCCTTGTCGGCTCCTTGGCATTATAAGACCGGCGAATATAATGCGTGCGATTGCGATTGGTTGTGGTTTGCGATCGGCGCCGTTGAGGCTCATGGGGTCACCACATTGCGCCAGAGGTTTGATGAGCCCTCGCCGGGGCATGGCAGAGACCTCTGTCGAGGTCCTCGCCTGCCCTCCCAGGCACGGGTTGCAAACCACACCTTTGCAAACCACGCCCTTCGGAATCGCCGAATCCAGCTCCAAGCAGTCAGAATATACAGCAGCATGCTTGCCACGGAGCGGAATGACGAGAGGGGGCTTCACAAAGGTTGAACGGCCCCAGCCTGAGCAATGCGTTTCTTACCAGAGACTCGGGCAGCTCGAAGGGCTGGAGTGCTGTGCTGCCGTCTTACTCTCCGTCCCCCCTCTCATCAACTTCCCCTCTGCCCCCTGCGAGTGCGGCGCGCAGCGTTCGAGCAGCCCGCTGCACCATCAGCCCGCTTCTGGCATCTCTGGCACCGCAGCGACAGGGCGATCGCCCCAGGCCCGCGCGGCGGACAGAGAACGGGCAGGTGACGCCTGCCACGGCTGGGCTGACGTGCTTTCCAGACGCATATGCCATAGGGGTCTCCTATGTCGAGCATGCGGCTCGAGGTTCAGGAGAAGCGCAGCCTGGAAGCCCTGAGAAAGAAAAGACGCAAGCGGGACGGGGGTGAGAGCACAACCCCGTCCCACTTGCGTCTTTCTTTCTTAAGGCTTCCAAGCTATGTGCATTTCATGGTATGGCTCACAAGGGATCGCTGCTGCCTGATCCAAAACTTCAGCCAGCATGGAGGCGAGAGCGCGCTTCCTGAACAAGGTATGGGGAAGACTCGGGCGAAACGGCTGCCAGGCCAGACGAGCTAGGGGTCCCCGTCCGCCGTATGGGACTCTTCTGTAGTTTTGCATTTCCATGTGAGCCCTCCGATCGACACGCCGAACGGCCAAAAGTGTCGGCCACCACGCCGTTAGCCTCGATAGGGTTCGATCCTTTCCGAGTTTTGGTCGTCGGTTTCCACGACCCATCTTCCGAACAAAAAAAATCCTGGGTCAAACAAGCAAGGCCCCGCTCCTCGAATACAGGATTGTCATATGCAAGTTGGTCCCCCTTCTCGAGTAAACGTGTCGCCGCCCCTCCCCCCTATCCCCGATCCGGTTCGATCATCGGTCCTTGGCTCTCCACGGTCCATCCCCAGGTACACTGCGATCGTTCGATCAAAACAAGAGGCGTCGATTCTCCTCGTTCCCGCCCAAAGGTACCCCTCGACCAGAACAAAAGGCTCCCTCCATCCTTCTGCCCCCCCGCGCGATCGGAGGCGGAGCCTCTTCTGCGACGCCGCGGCCGTCGTCGGGTCGGCCACCGAGGCCATCGAGGCGGCCGGCAGCCACCTGCCCCCCCCGGAAGCGCCGCTGGCCACGTGCGCTGGCGCGCTGCGCGAGGGAGGACGCCAGGCAGGTCCGGGAAGGTTCGAAGCTCGGGATTCGGGGGAGAAAAAGATACGGATACGTGTTGTCCCCCTTCGTTTTCGGCCTTTCCTTGTCCTCCTGGGGAATCCTCGTTGTCACCGCTGGATTCGCCTCGAAATTCTGGTCAGAACGCACCCCAAGAGAGGTCCGGGGACAACACGTATCCGTATCTTTCCGCCCCCCAAGGGATGCTCTCCAGCAGCTGCGCTTCGCCAAGAGGCGTCCAGGGGTGCCCGGTTGGCGGGTGCCGGGTTGCCGCAAAAGAGGGAGCGGACCGTGATGGGCCTGTTTTCCACCACCACCACCATAAGTTGGAGGAGGAGGGAGTCCTCCTCCTCCTCATCCTCCTCTTCCTCCTCCTCGTCCTCCTCCTTCCCCCCTCCAACTTATGGTGGTGGTGGTGGAAAACAGTCCCATCAGACCAGGGAGTGCAGACGATGGAGATGTTCGAAAGGTGTGCAGCATTTGGGGGCCTCCGGGAGGCTCCTCGTCGCCGCGGTTGGGTTCCTCTCAACATGCTCGTCAGCATGCACGCCCCGCTCGCCGCGTCCGCTGGGCGCGCCGCGCGCGAGAGAGTGCCAGGCGGATCCAAGAAGGATCGAGATTCGAGCTTCGAGGAGGGAGGTTTTCGGAAGTCGTTCCCGCCGAACAACATGTCCAATGAATAAGTGCTGTGTTGGGCTTCAGAAGATAGGCCGACTCGGTTTTGCGGCGCAGGTCGGCAGTCGCAGTGTCTGCCGAGCTCGCCCCCGAACCGCATGCAGTCGGGCCGCTAAAGAGAAGGGACTCTTCTCGTCGGGGAGGGGCCCAGTGTTCCTTGCTCGTTTTGCAGCCGTTCGCAGGCTGTCCCCTGGGGTCTCCTCGGGGAGATCGCAGTATCTGACTCCTGGGAAAAAAAGGGCCCTCGTTCCCTATCCAGGGTTCCGTGTGACAGCGCTTCGGCTGCAGCGCGCGAGCGCCGCCAAGCGGCGCCGCTCCGAGGCGCCACTTGCCCCCTGGGTCGGGGGCGGGACCCGCGCGAGGGAGCGCCCGCCCAGCTCTGGCAGCCGAGGGGCTCCCCGCCGCCGCGGCGGGGTGCCTCTCGGCAGGCTCGTCGGCACGCGCGCCCGGAGGAGTCTGGGGGGGGGGGGAGCTGTGGAGGGAGCTGTGGCCTCGCAGGTTCGGGTACTCCTGGGAGGTCAAATGCTGATTGAGCCCTGGTCCGAAATCCCGCTTCATCCGGCTTAATCCCGCTTGATCCCGCTTAATCCGGCTCAATCCCGCTTGATCCCCCTTAATCTGGCTCAATCCCGCTTGATCCGAGGCCCACTCTGGCTTAACAGCCCGCCAATGGGTCTCAATCCTCCTGAATCCTTCCGACGAACACCTCCCAGTAGTTGCCTCCCAACGCAGGAGAAGCATCTGCATGAGCATGTAAACTCTCAGAGCTCCGCGCAGATCCCCTGGACCGGCGCCCTGGTCCGCCTGGCGGCGGGGAGAGCCCGAGGGCGCCAGGCCGGCCTGGCAAGAGGCGGTCCGGCAGTCGGTTCGACTGAGATTTCCCCAGAAAGTGTTCAGGAGTCGTGCCCTGGCCTCAATGACAGCTCCGTGTTTTTGTCATAAAGGCCACGGTCTCTGGTAACAAACACGTTGAGATGCACGTGGCCATGCTCTCGCCCGTGTCCCCTGTCAGCCGACCTCTTGCTCCTCGACCCGCCTCTTCTCACCTGTGCTGCTGTCGGGGTGCTCTTCTGGGGGAATCGAGAAGGCCTGTGACGAATGGGTTTGCCTCGCTCCTCCCCCTCGCCCCCGGCGCCCGCGTCGCCAGGCATTCTGCGACGACCGCCGCTGGAACTCCATCGGCAGTCTCCAGGCGCGCGGCGGAAGCACGCGGGGAGCTCCGTGGCGGAGGGGCCGCGGCGCGAGCGAGGACCAGGGAAGGAGAGGGTACCGATAGCGTTTCCCGTTTTGGAGAGCCCTCGCCGCCACGGCCGGATTCCCCTCGAGATCGTGGCCAGAACACGCTCCCGGACAGGGCCCTGGAGTAGCGGTGCGGATCGCGTTTCGTCTTCCCACGGGAGGAGCAACGGGGAACGAGTAACCACATAAACATACAAATTCTGAGGTCCCCGCGGATTTCTCGGATCGGCGCTGGAGCCCCTGGCGGCGCCTCTTGCGCCGCCCTTGACGCGCTCTGCGCGCCAGGGGGGGGTCAAGCGCCGATCCGAGAAATCTGCGCGGACCTCCGAGTTTTCATGTTTATGCCATTGTTCGTTCCCCTAGTTTCGGCTTCCCACGGGAGGAGGGAGCGACTCTGTGGCGGAGGGTTCGGGGGGGTGCTGCTGCAGCGGGGGTATGGCGGGCAGCGCGAGCGAGGATGAGGAGAAGAAAGGGTACGATAGGTCAACGCCGCGTTGACGCGGCGGCGACGCCAGCGCGGGCGTGAAAGGTTGAATTTCACCAGTTGCCAGGAGTCGGCCAGCATGGAACGATGTCTCACATTGGCGTTCAAGCTCAATCGATTCACGGGGTGTTCAGAAATCAGCGCCCGCTCCATCGCGACATGAACCCTCCGCACCGATACCGCCTTGGAGATTGGAGGCCCCCAAGAAACAATTCACATGATTTCTTGGATGTCCACACGGATTTCTTGCATCGGCGTTTGGCCCCGCTGGCGGCGCCTCCAGCGCCGCCCATGGTCGCGCTCCGCGCGACAGAGACGGAGGGCCAGCGTCGATCCGAGAAAACCACGCGGATCTCCGAGACGTGATGTTTATGTTTGTTTCGTTTCTTTGGGAGAGCCTTCGTCGCCACGGCTGGACTCATCTCGATGCTCTGGTCAGGACGCACTCCCGGAGAGGGCAGCGGAGTAGCAGTTCTTCTGTTCCCGCAGAGGAGGTTCTCAGGAGACGAGGCAAACGAAGCGGGGCAGTAGGCATAAGGTGCGAAGGACATTGGAGCTCGCAGGCTCCTCAGCTGCGGTGAGGGGCGCCACCCCGCCTAAAAACGAAGGCGCTTCGGAGAGCCTCCGGCAGGGAGGAGGAGGAGGAGGAGGAGGAGGAGGAGGGTCTCTCCCTTCGGGCCCTCTTATTGTAGTGGCCTCCAGCCAGCGCCGCCGATCCGGGGTGCTACCGATTCTGTTTGCAACGGATGACCTCTTATGTTTAAAAGTAGAGCGTTCGCTCGAGACACCCTCATAAGATGGAGATGTTGAACTCGCTTGGGTAACCTTCGGAGATTCGAAAGTGACGATCTCACGTGAAGAGCCAAACTCGTGGGATGTTGACGTAGCTGATGTGTGACACCTTTGGGGGGTCGCTCCTGGGCTTCTCGTGGGGGGGGGAGGCATCCTGGAGGCTTCTTGGGGGCGCGCTGGAGGAAGTTGTTGAATCTCTTGGGGACCTTTGGGGGGCCTCCTTGGGGCTTCTTGGGCCGTCTTGGGCCCTTCTTGGGCTGTCTTGGAGCCCTCTTCGGGCGTGAATGGCGTCAGCCATGGCGTCGGCCCTCCCCCCCCCCTCTCCTCTCCCGAGCCTGAACGGCGTCAGCCACCCCCCCCCCCGACAGAGTGAAGCTTGAGCGAGCTCCCCACCCCCCTCCCCCCTCCCGGGCCTGAATGGCGTCAGCCACGGCGTGAGCCCTCCCCCCTCCCCCCCGACTCCCCCCCTCCCCCCTCCTGGGCCGATATCAGCTATGGCGTCAGCTCCCTCCCCCCCGACAGAGCGAAGCCTTGAGAGATTCCCCCCTCCTCCCCCCTCCCGGTCTGATGGCGTCCTCCCCCCCCCCCCCGACTCTCTTCTCCCGGGCTTGAATCTCCCCCCCCCCCCCCTCCCCCCTCCTGGACCTGAATGGCGTCAGTTATGGCGTCAGCCCCCTCCCCCCCCGACAGAGCGAAACTTGAGGCGAGCTCCCCCCCCTCCCCCCTCCCGGGCCTGAATGGCGTCAGCCATGGCGTGAGCCCCCCCCCACCTCCCTCCTCCGGGGCCTGAATTGCGTCAGCCATGGCGTTCCCCCCCCTCCTCCCCCTTCCTGGGCCTCAATGGCGTGAGCCCATGGCAGTCAGCCCCTCCCGCCCCCCCGACAGAGCGAAGCTTGAGCGAGCTCAAGCCACGCTCCCCCCCCCCCGACTCCCTCCTCCCTGAGGGCCTGAATGGCGTCAGCCATGGCGTCCCCTCCCCCCCCTCTCCCTCCCGGGCCTGGATGGTGTCAGCTATGGCGTCAGCCTCCCCCCCCCCGACAGAGCGAAGCTTGAGCGAGCTCCCCATCCCCCTTCCCCTTCCCGGGCCTTGATGGCGTCAGCCATGGCGTCAGCCCCCCCCCCGACAGAGCGAAGCTTGAGCGAGCTCAAGCCCCCGCTCTCAGAAGCTCACGCGCCGGATCGGCGGATTTGTGTTCGCTTCTCTATGCCTTGCTATGGCTGGCTGCGTCCGCCAGGCTGAACTAGTTTACCATCGGCCTACGTCAGCTTTCGATACCTTTCGGGGGTGGATAGACCTCCTACCCTGACACTTCGATTAGCGAATTGGCCGTTTTCGGTTCGCGAGAAGCCGTCGCGGCCGTCATTTCTGCGGGTCCAGGTCCGTCGGTTTCGGTCCTAGGCCATTTTCACTAAAGGGAGGTTTACTAAAGGTAGGTTTGTCCATCGCCGAACCTTTGTCCTGCACACCCTGAACGCAACGATCCCAGACCCATGTCCGTGCAACGTCAAAAAGGGGCTCTCCTCTGCTGCGGGCGGGGCGGGGCAAGGCTTGAGGATCAGGTGGAGGGGGTGGCCCTGCACCTGCAAGGTTTCCCCCGGGGAGCGTAGGGGACCCCAGGAGGAGGAGGGAGAGGAGGAGGTGGAAGAGGGGTAGGGGGAGGAGGAGATGTAGGAGGAGGGAGGAGGAGGAGGAGGAGGAGGAGGAGGAGGGGGAGGAGAAGGAAGGCTTGAGGATCAGGTGGAGGGGGTGGCTTGGCATCGCTCGGACGTGTGTTTGCCTCTTCCTCGGCGAGGGCCATCGAGGAGTCTTCTGGGCCCTCTCTGCGAGAAGATGAAAGGGAGGACGGACGTCCGAGCGATGGCGAGGGGGAGGAGGAGGAGGAGGAGGTAGGAGGAGTGAGGAGGAGGAGGAGGAGGAGGAGGAGGATGAGGAGGGAGGAGGGATGAGGGAGGAGGAGGAGGGAGGAGGGAGGAGGGAGGAGGGAGGAGGGAGGAGGAGGAGGGAGGAGGGAGGAGGGATGGAGGGAGGGAGGGAGGAGGGAGGAGGGAGGAGGAGGAGGAGGAGGAGGAGGAGGAGGAGGAGTAGGAGGAGGAGGGAGGGGGAGGGGGAGGGGTGAGGGGGAGGGGAGGGGGAGGAGGAGGAGGAGGAAAAGGAGGAGGAGGAGGAGGAGGAGCAAGAGGAGCAAGATGAGGAAGCAAGAGGAGGAAGAGGAGGAGGAAGAAGAAGAAGAGCGCACCGTGCCTCGGCGCACTTTGTCTCCCCGCAGCCGCCTAAGCCGACGGCGCGTGGCGGGGCAAGCGGAGGGCCCTCTCTGAGGCCTTGATGTGGTCCACGAGCAGACCGAATTCGGCGGTGTCCGCATCGGTGTGCTTGATGGCGTGGTACGCCGTATAGGCAATCACAAGGACCTCGAAGTGGCGGTCGTGGTCAGGAATCCGCACGCACAGGCGATCCAGACGATGGACAGGAAGATCGGCAGCAGGAGCATGTAGTGCCACTCGAATGGCACGCCATAGGATGGGGCATGCCATTCGGAGGAGGAGGAGGAGGAGGAGGAGGAGGAGCAGCAGGAGGAGGAGGGAGGAGCAGGAGGAGGAGGGAGGAGCAGGAGGAGGGGGTGCGGGGGATGGCGTGGCTGCCTGCCCTCGCTCCTCCCCGGTGGCGGGCGCCACGGGCGCGGCGGAGCCGTCTCCCGCGCGCGTCAGCCAGTCGGGCAGGAGGAACCTTTTGGGGGGAGGGCGCGTCGGCGCGGCTCAGGCGAGAACGAAAGACTGGTCGATCAGACAGCACCCGAACTCCATCCTCACCACATACTCGAACAGCGTGCGGATGTAGTGGGGGAAGGGGGGAGTGGTGGGGGGGGTCTGGCTCCGGACCTCTGCTCGGTGCGACTGCTTGGAGCAGTGCGTCCTAGGAATGGGGGGGAGGCTTCATCTGCTCAGACGTGATCGTGTCGTAAAAACATCAGGACGGGAGGCTTTTGGCCGATTTCGGACTCGGAGCCGGCAAACAACGGCTCAGGGTAAAAAATTGGTCCCGGGGTAAGGGTCTCGGGACTTCCAGGGACCCCGCATGGAAAAAATCAGGGCGTCGCATGTCTGGGATCGGGAAGCGGCACGAGCATGAGCGTCCTGGTGCCGCCTTTTTGTTAGTGACTCTCTTAGAGCAGGGGAGGGGCAGAGCAGGAGGGGGGAAGGGCAGGGGCTGCCGTGAAGAGGGGCGGGCAACGATGGCGCCGACGGAGGTGCCGCGAGCGGGGGGGGGAGAGGGGCCCTTCCGCTCCCCGTGCGTTTAATTTACAGGAGGAGGTGAAGAGGAGGAGGAGGAGGAGGAGGAGGAGGAGGAGGATCGAGTGCTGCGGAGAGGGAAGAGAGGCGGTGAGGAGCGTGAGGACGGAGGGGGGGAGAGACAAGAGGGAAGGAGGACGACAACGACGAGGATGGCGAGGAGGACGTAGAGGAAGATGGCGACGAAGACGAGGATGACAAGAACGACGACGACGACGACGAGGAATGGATCGGGGCGCGCGCGCGCGCGCACGCTCGCCGCGGCCGCCAGCAGGTGGACCTCGCACCGCCCGACAAGAAGGCGGACGTGCCGCGGCCGGCCGCGAGGCGCCGGGCGGGTGCGATGGTCAATGAAGGGGAACTGGGACACACGAATAAATACACCTGGGTTTCTGTCTTCCCCCCCACTTCCAATATTTTCCCATATTTTCTCGGGAATCCACGATTGATTGTGTCTGTGTGTGTGTTTTCCCCTCCTGAGTCAAGCAGTGGCGAAGCGTCCCGGCTCGCCTACAGTCGGGGAAACGTGAGGTTCGAGTAGGCCGGAACTCGGGCTTGCCGACGCTTTTTTGAGGAGCGCGTCGTGGATTTTGGCGGTCCAGTTTTCGTGGGATGTTTGCAGCAGGAGTTCGCGTCAAATTTCAGATTGGGTCTCGTCATTTGTATGATGACCCCGTCAGGCCAACCCGAGTCTTACGTCTTCCCGATATAGGCCCACCAAAGAATGTTCTGGGAACCTTGTGGGGTCTGCACGGAAAATTCTGGGAACATTTCTGGCCGAGGCTGGCTTGTTTCAGCACGTCGGGCTTATGTTATGAGAGCATGGTGCTTGCTATGAGAACATGTTTGGGTTCTGAGAGCATGTCGTGGTTGGCCTATAGGAATGCCAGGACGGTCAGTCCCTGCTCAAGATGTGGGCCTCCGGGGACCTGCGGGTACATCCCAGAGGCTTGGGGCCGCCTTGGGCCGTCTTGGGCCGTGAGCTTGGGGCCGCCTTGCGCCGTTTTGGGCCGCCTTGGGCCGTCTAGCTGCCGTTGTTTGGGCGGTCCTTGGGAACGACTTATTGAATCGCTTCGCTCATTCCGCCGGCCCGAATTGTGCCATCGCGGGTTCTTGGGGGGTCTTGGGAGCCCTTGGAAGCTTCGTGGGACCTTCGTGGGAACTTTGGGAGGCCTCGTGGATGGCTCTGGGTGGGCCGTCTTGGTGGTCTCTTGGGGGGGTCTGCCTGGCCTCGTGGGGGCCTCCTGGGAGCTTCCTGGGGGTCTCTTGGGGGCCTCTTGGGGCTTTCTTGCGGCCTGTCGGGGGCCTCTTGGGGCTCTCTTGGGGGCTTCGTGGGGCTACTTGGGGGCTTGTAGGGGCATTTCGGGGGCGTGTTTGGGCGGGAGGCTCAAAATTTCCGTTCAGGTTGCCCCTGTGGACCTCAATCATGGGGCCGTCTTGGGGCCTCTTGGACCGTCTTGAGGGTTTCTTGGGCCTTCTTGGAGCGCTCTTGGGCCGTCTTTGAGCGGTCTTGAGGGTCTCTCGGGCCGTCTTGGGGTGATCTTGGGGGCCTCTTGGACCGCCTTGAAAGGTGTGAAAGACGAAGAGGCGGATATGTTAAAAATGCACGCTTTCCTAAGGGAATGAGACGGTTTTTGCTTGTGGGAGCCCTCTTGGGACGCCGCTTAGGGACCTCTTGGGGCGTCTTGAAGGCCTGTTGGGCCGTCTTGAGGCCATCGTAGGCGCTTGGGGGTGATATTTCGGCGTCTCCCGGCTCTCTTGGACCGTCTGGAGGGCTTCTCGGGCCCCTCTTGGACCGATTTGGAGCCCTCCTGGGCTCCGAAAAAGAGTTCTTGAGGGTTTCTTGGGCCTTCTTGGAGCGCTCTTGGGCCGTCTTTGAGCGGTCTAGAGGGTCTCTCGGGCCGTCTTGGGGTGATCTTGGGGGCCTCTTGGACCGCCTTGAAAGGTGTGAAAGACGAAGAGGCGGATATGTTAAAAATGCACGTTTTCCTAAGGGAATGAGACGATTTTTGCTTGTGGGAGCCCTCTTGGGACGCCGCTTAGGGACCTCTTGGGGCGTCTTGAAGGCCTGTTGGGCCGTCTTGAGGCCATCGTAGGCGTTTGGGAGTGATATTTCGGCGTCTCCCGGCTCTCTTGGACCGTCTGGAGGGCTTCTCGGGCCCCTCTTGGACCGATTTGGAGCCCTCCTGGGCTCCGAAAAAGAGTTCTTGAGGGTTTCTTGGGCCTTCTTGGAGCGCTCTTGGGCCGTCTTTGAGCGGTCTTGAGGGTCTCTCGGGCCGTCTTGGGGTGATCTTGGGGGCCTCTTGGACCGCCTTGAAAGGTGTGAAAGACGAAGAGGCGGATATGTTAAAAATGCACGTTTTCCTAAGGGAATGGGACGATTTTTGCTTGTGGGAGCCCTCTTGGGGCGCCGCTTAGGGACCTCTTGGGGCGTCTTGAAGGCCTGTTGGGCCGTCTTGAGGCCATCGCAGGCGTTTGGGAGTGATATTTCGGCGTCTCCCGGCTCTCTTGGACCGTCTGGAGGGCTTCTCGGGCCTCTCTTGGACCGTTTGGAGCCCTCCTGGGCTCCGAAAAGGGACCTTGCCGGGACCTTGCCGGGGTACTTTTCGTCCGGGGACCCCCAGGGCCCGCCCCGCGCGCGCGAACTAGAAATATTGTTGAGCAGTTACCGGAGATCTTAGCACGCCTCTGGCCCGTTGGGCCGGCGAATTCAGCCACGCGCAGAAGGGGGGTGGGGGGAGGGGGGAGGGTTTTTTAGAAGCACCCTTGTTTCTTAGAAGGCGCGGGCCTAATCTATAGATGTATGGCCGGCGCCTTCTAAGAAGCAACCTCCTTCTAAGAAGCCCTCCCCCCTCCCTCCACCCCTTTTTGCGCACCGCACCGCCAACTTATAGAGCTGTCCAGGAGGCCAGAAAGGTCGCAGGCGACGCTCTTCTGGCGTTGCGCAAGAGCGGGCGACAGCCGGGAGGGGTGGAGAAAGGTGCACCTCTTGTGCACCTTGGGAGCCTCCTGGGGGCCTCCTGGGGCCTACAATGGGGACGAAAGGTGCACGTCTCTTCGCCCTCCTGGTTAACCCCCCCCCCGAGCAACGCTCTTTTCTGGGCGGGTCGCCAGAGGGTCCTCCGGGGATCGAAACCCCCCTCCGACACGGCTCACTAGCGCGCCGATTCGGCCCAAGATGGTCTCAAGATAGTCCCGGAGGCCCCCAAGACGCTCCAGGAAAACCCTGAATTGAACTTCTTAGAGATTTCAGAGTGGCATAAAATTCGCCGGCCCAACGGGCCAGAGGCGTGCTAAGATCTCCGGTAATTGCTGAACAATATTTCTAGTTCGCGCGCGCGGGGCGGGCCCTGGGGGTCCCCGGACGAAAAGTACCCTGGCAAGGTCCCGGCAAGGTCCCGGCAAGGTCCTGGCAAGGTCCCTTTTCGGAGCCCAGGAGGGCTCCAAACGGTCCAAGAGAGGCCCGAGAAGCCCTCCAGACGGTCCAAGAGAGCCGGGAGACGCCGAAATATCACTCCCAAACGCCTGCGATGGCCTCAAGACGGCCCAACAGGCCTTCAAGACGCCCCAAGAGGTCCCTAAGCGGCGCCCCAAGAGGGCTCCCACAAGCAAAAATCGTCCCATTCCCTTAGGGAAACGTGCATTTTTAACATATCCGCCTCTTCGTCTTTCACACCTTTCAAGGCGGTCCAAGAGGCCCCCAAGATCACCCCAAGACGGCCCGAGAGACCCTCAAGACCGCTCAAAGACGGCCCAAGAGCGCTCCAAGAAGGCCCAAGAAACCCTCAAGAACTCTTTTTCGGAGCCCAGGAGGGCTCCAAATCGGTCCAAGAGGGGCCCGAGAAGCCCTCCAGACGGTCCAAGAGAGCCGGGAGACGCCGAAATATCACCCCCAAACGCCTACGATGGCCTCAAGACGGCCCAACAGGCCTTCAAGACGCCCCTAAGAGGTCCCTAAGCGGCGTCCCAAGAGGGCTCCCACTAGCAAAAATCGTCCCATTCCCAGAGGTCATTAACATATCCGCCTCTTCGTCTTTCACACCTTTCAAGGCGGTCCAAGAGGCCCCTAAGATCACCCCAAGACGGCCCGAGAGACCCTCTAGACCGCTCAAAGACGGCCCAAGAGCGCTCCAAGAAGGCCCAAGAAACCCTCAAGAACTCTTTTTCGGAGCCCAGACAAATAGCAGGGGGCCTCCAGACGGTCCAAGAGAGCCGGGACGCCGAAATATCACCCCTCTGGCCTCAAGACGGCCCAGCAGGCCTTCAAGACGCCCCAAGACGTCCCTAAGCGGCGTCCCAAGAGGGCTCCCACAAGCAAAAATCGTCTCATTCCCTTAGGAAAGCGTGCATTTTTAACATAGCCGCCTCTTCGTCTCTCACACCTTTCAAGGCGGTCCAAGAGGCCTCCCAAAGTTCCCAAGAAGCTCCCACGAAGCTTCCAAGGGCTCCCAAGACCCCCCAAGACCCCGCGATGGCACAATACGGGCCGGCGGAATGAGCGAAGCGATTCAATAAGAAATGTCCTGAGGTGTTGGAACGAGTTTCGCGTTCTCGCGTTTTTGGGCACCCAGTGCTCGAAGACAGCCCAAGAGGACCCAAGATCGCCTCACGACGGTCCGTAGCCATTTTGGCTCAAGCCATTTTGGCTCAAGTACGACATCTATCAAGCCAGCTGGGCAGGAGCAGCTTCTTCAGCTGGTCCAGAGGTGGTCTGCCCAGGCCAGGACTCAGCAGCTTGCACGCTTTTCTCTATTCCTTTCCTCCCTCCCACTGCACAGCGGCCGCCATGCCTGCCGCCGACAGGTCCCGATCATCGGACTCGACGGGAAGCAGTGAATCCAGACGCAGGGACTCCTCGTCCCGCAGCCGCTCTGGCCGCTCGGACCCTGGCCGCTCCGTTGGCACCAAGAGCAAGCGCCCGAAGGCCTCCGACGGCGAGAAGCTCGACGAAGTGCTACGCGCGCTCCGAGGTTTCGGCTCGCAACTCTCCACGCAGTCCTACGACATTGGCCTCATCAAGAACCAGGTCGCTGCACAGACTGTTAGGTGTGATCAGCTCACGGTGAATATGACCACCCTCGAAGGCCAACAGTCCGCCATGTTCACCGACCTGAACGACCGCTTCACCACGCTCAAGAGTGAGGTCCACACGCAGATCACGAATGAGCTCCGCGCCCAGGAAGCCCGTACAGCCGTGCCTATCTTCGACATAGACGACGAACAGGGCGCTGAGGTTCACGCCAAAATTCAACAACAGATTGCCGAGATCAAGGCACAGTTACGCACTATTTCGACAGCCCCCTCGGTCTCCAGCTCGGTCGAGGCGC